ATATTTTGATTTAGCCCACCCCATTAAGAAATCCTGGATCCGCCCTTGCTCGAACCTCAATTCTCTGGTATATACATAAGAGCAAGAATTTGGATCAGAGTTGAAGCGAACCGAGGACGAGAGGGTATTTCACCCAAAAAACCCAGAACATCATTCCTCGGTGCCGTTGGCTATTCGAAAGGGCCACGCACTCACTCAACACTAGACATTGTATATGATCTTTGTTAATGTTGATTAATTATAAATGATCATTTGGTTAGTTCAACGTTTTGATTAATGTAAAATTTGTATAGTTTACAGATTTTACTCTCCCGGAAACTCACGTCCATCCTCGTGATTGATACGATCCCAGTGGCCCCATCCCTTATCGCCGCCGTAATCGCCGTAGCGGCGAAGGAAGAAGAGGAGTCGGTGCCGGCCAAGGTGGAAGAGGAGTCGGCACCGAAGGAAGAGTAGGCTTCGCCGGAAGAAGAGGAGGTTTCGCCGTTGACGGTGGCTTTCACGTGATGGAGGTGGAGATTTCCCTCAAAGTCTATTTTGGATGCTTATATGGCTATCCCATTTACTATTAATAATCGGTTTAGTTGGGGTGTTTTTGGTGGAGACTTCAACCTCATTATACATCTATTTATAGTTACTCACTTGAAAATTTTTGGCCATTTATATAGATCATTTTGTTTAACTATTATCCAAGATTCTAGAAAAATGTATGTTAGATTTTTAGAGTTCTATGAGAATATCTTTAAGGGTCCGTTTGGTTAGATGGAAATTTATGATTGGAAAGTGAAAGTGAAAAAAAGGAAAATCAAGTTTCCTGCATGCATTTGGTTAGTAAGAAAATTTTTCAAGAAAGTTGTGGGAAAATATTATTTTATTAGTTTGGATAGCATGAAAGGGATAATAAAATGATTTACTTACCAAAACTACTCTCATGATTTCAAATATTAAAAAATAAATTAATTTTGTGTTGGATGAATCATCTTTATACCTAATTATTTATATTAATTTTTAGCAATTAAATAGTAAAATAATGGATTAATAATAATTATTATTATTATTTATATTCATATTTAAATTAGACAAACTAAGGAAGACTGCATTTTAGTTGTCAGTTTCTTTTTATTTTCTGTTTTCAATAATAATTATTTATATTTATATGTAGAATATAATTCATTTATCATAACATACTCATGTTTTATCATAAAATAATGGATTATTAATTATTATTATTATTATTATTATTATTATTTGTATTCATATTTAAATTAGAAAAACTAAGGAGGAGTGCATTTTAGTTGTCAGATTTTTTTATTTTGTGTTTTCAATAATAATTATTTATATTTATATGTAGAATATAGTTCATTTATGATAACATACTCATATTTTATGGAATTATTAAATATATCTTTTTTTAAGCCCCCTCGAAGAAACATTAAATGGCAACTCTAGGATAAAAATTGTCATGTAAAAGTAACATATTTTATAATTCATGCATAATAATTTTATGGTTTATGCATAATTTATCAGTCCCCTTTCATATTTTTTTATGAATATGAACCACTTCTATGAAAATTTTTCTTTACAAAAATCACATAGTATAAAACTCTATTCAGTTCAAAGTTGTATAGATAGTAAAAAATTAATATTATATTGATTTCCATCCATGTGAAATTGTTATGTCATATAAATAATATGATTACTCAAATTAATTTTTTCTCATATTTCTATTGAGATATTGATAAAAATTAAAAGTTACATTTTTTAATATTCTACTCTTCAACTCTTAATTTATCTCGAAAAATTTTAGGTAACGACCTATTGGATATAATCAAATTATGTGTCCCAATATATAATAGTTGTTGGAATATTTTCTGAGTCTAAATTTAATAACATGCTATATTTGTTATGTGAAAAAAAAAATGGAGAAACAACTGGGCATAATAGGAAATTTGGAAATAAAGTGATAGTTTTGAGCGAGAAAGTAAACTTTCTTGTGTTTTATGTGGGGAAATATTTTGGAAAAATTTATCGATGCGGGAATCCCACTATCCCAAAAAATTTCCCTTTCCAGGTAACCAAACTCTCAAAAATTAATTTTCTTTTCCGTTTCTTTTCCTTTCTACCTATTTCACGCTAACTAAATGAACCTTAAATGAAAATTGCAAGAAAAGAAATGAAATTTTTTTAAACACAGGTTAGTAGGAAAATTTTCTTTTCATAATTATTTAACTTTTTATAAAATTTTCCAACAAAAAAATAGAAGAAAGTTTTGAATTCTAGAGAAAATTTTCTCAAATATACAATATTGTTTTTCTTTTATTGTAAGTTTTATTTTATTCAAATTATAATTTTTTTTTTGAAATAAAAAAATTAAATAAAAAACCATATAATGCTAACTGAATGAATGTCACAAAATTTATTTTCTTAGGCGAAGCAGCCCCTTATTTTAATATGATGGTGGTGTGGATCGATTAGGAATTTACAAGCGTGCATATGTGTGTTGGGTTTAATAAGCCGATGTGCGGTTTCGATTTGGGGGTCAGCGGTGGTATTTCCTGCTTCTTGCTGTGGTTGTGATGGCAAGGGTGTGTTGGTTGTTGTGGGATGAGTATGGTGGTGGCTGTGGTTGTCATCGGTTGTGGGATGAAAATGGTGATGGCAATGGTTGTCACCGATTGTGGTATGAGTATAGCGGTGGTTGTCACCAGTTATGGTGATGGTGGCACCGATGGTGCAGATGTAGGTAGTGAGATGAGAGCTGAGAGAGGGAGGTAAGAGCTAAGAGAGGGAAGTATTACTTAGTAATGCATCAAGGACAATTATGTCATTTAAATCTTCAAATTTTTTATCAATTAAATGTTGAAAGGCAATTTCGCCTTTTACCAACTTTTTAGGGGCTGTTTGGCTAGAATTTTTGATAGGGGGTGTCATCATTTAAAAAAAGGCTAATTTGTATCTGAGTGTTCTTATGACAAATCTCAAGAGATGTCTTTAAACTTTATCCTTTTTATTTATTTATTGAAGATAGAAGAATGTACAATATTCGTTGGCCCCGAAGAAGATTAGGCCCAAAATCACAGAGCTAGCAACCCAAATTGAAATTATATTTTTCATGCTTTGTTAAGTAAGTTTAATTTTAAAACCAGCTATGTACATGAAAGCATAAAACATTTGTCCATGGACAGCTTAGTGGGTGTTATGTAAAGAATAAGGATTAATGTAAGACCCACCGTGGATTTAGGATCGGTTTGAAAATTTGCTTTGTGTTTTGTGTTGGTATGGTGTATTATAGCTAGGTCTGTCAATGGATCGAATTCGGATCGATCAAATCTGTATATAATTTTTTAAGCAAACGGATTATCGGATTCAGATTATTAATGGGTTCTCGGACTGAATATCCCAATTCATATCCTATTTAGATCGGACTCGAATCAAATCGGATTCGAATTCGGATTAAAATCATATTTACTGACATATATGATTATAAAGTTAGATGAAATGGAGAATTGCTAATATTTAGAATGCTACATAATATAACTATGCAACCAAATGAATATAATGATAAATAATTAATATATATATATATATATATATATATATATATATATATAAATATATAAATTTTGTAATATATAACTAATATATATAACATTGATAAGAACACCACACTATTAATATGTATATTATGAGATTTATTAGCATGTGGATGAGAACACCACACTTTTGTATATATAACATTATGATTTCTTTTCTTTTTTTTTGGATTTTTGGTTTAAAAGCTGATACAATTCTAATAAGAGTATTGATATAAATATGTAAAATTATTGATAAATAATTATATATATATATATAATTTTAATTGGATTGGATCGGATTTTTATCGAATTGGATCAGTATAATTCATATCTGATTTGTTAAGCTAATGGATTATCGGATTCGGATCGTAATCAGGTTATCGGATTTTTTGTTCAATTCATATCCGACTAATCGGATCGGATTCGGATCAAGATCCACTCCATTTGACAGGTCTAATTGTAACCAAACAAAATATTATATTTGTCTGATATTTTCTTGTTACAACTTGAATAGTATTATGTTTATTGTAGTAAAAAAGAGGCTCAAGTACAAGATATTAAATTAGTATTTCTTAATGTTTTCTATTGCAACTAAAAACTGTTGTGGTGAAATGTACCCAAAAATAATTTAAACCTCTAATGGCATTTTTTAACTAATCATTTTGTTTTTTAATTTTACAACATTTTTATTTATTTATTAAACATATTCTTATATATATGCTTTCACTATTTAACACAGTTATTTATATTTTAGATGAATATATAAACACGAAAACTATTGTCAAACAGACCCCTAATGCGGATTGCTGTAGTAATGTAACTGTGGCCAGCATGGTGGTGGGTGGAATAGTTTTACACTAAAAAGTTTTACACATTTTTTTTCTTGTATTTTTCCTTCTTCTTAAATTTTTCTATTTTTACCCAATAATACATGCTACGGAATACAAAAAACGGGGGAAAGAGAAAGATTAAAAGCTTTAACTGGCTTTACTTTATAGTATGTATTATTGGGTAAAAATATAAAATAAAGTGATTTTGTAAATTTGTCATTTTCTTTTCTATTATTTTAGAAAACAAGGGAAAATAAAGTGGAAGGATTGAGAAACTTCATCCAATTTCTCCACTTATCACATATTACCGATCTGCCAACATGACACGTACACGATACGAGTTAAATAAATAATAAATTTACCATAAATGAGTTGATACAAATAACTCGTTTAGTTGAACGCCTCGTATTTGAATTTTGTAGCTTAACTCTAATTCATTTATATTCGTTTAAATTAAATATGTCACCCGTGAAACCCCCGTCTAACCAGTTGCCTGTTTTGATCAGATTAGTAGGGGGTATTTTGGTCATTTCATAGTTACATAATAAACCCTATTATACAAATATATAACAGCAGCGCCTGCTCTTCAGTCTGTCTCTCGGTCTCTCCTCTTTTCCCCCCCTCTCTGTCTGAATCGGTGAATCAACAATACCAGACAACTCTCTCTCTCCCTCTCAAATCCACACCACACCTCGAGCGACCAAGATCACTACAGTCTACACTTCAAGCGACCAGCGAAGAACACAAACCTAGAACAATCGAAGTTAGTTTTCTACTTTTCTCTAATTTTTTTTTTGTCTTTTCTCTTTCAGATCTACTTTGAAACAACAAGAGTTCATTTTTTTTTTTTTTTGTCTTTCCTCTTTCAGATCTACTTGGAAACAAGGTTTCTTTAATTTTTTTCTTTCAGATCTACTTTTAAACAAGTTTTATCTAATTTTTTTTTTCCATTATTATTGTTGTTTTTTAGAAAGTTTGATGTATATATGTATCGTGGTGCTTCTGTCCTTTCTAATTTGGGGGTGTTCACTGGTTTGTATGCCTCTTCTGTTTTATTTTGTTCTGTTGATTGTGTGTCTGTGTGTTTCTTTGGGTCCGATAATTGATTGATGTTTCATTCCTAATTGAAGAATTTGGAAAAAAGAAAGAAAAGAAAGTGTTTTGTTTTCACCATCTCATTCATTAAAATAGACCATCATTTTATCAACTGATACCTTTGTTCTGATTTAGACCAGCGAATCTTGTACCTAAAGCTGCCTATTTGATCTTCTATTTTCATATATGAGTTCAATCCTGAAAATTTTATAACCCTCAGGTGGTTGTTTGCTTGGACGGATAGAACTGAACTGAAGAATTAACTAGACAGTTCTCCGATTCATTGTTTTTTTAGTTCGTCCTTATAATATTTTATTTTATATAATTTTTTTTTTATAATTATCTGAGAAAAACAAAATTGGCTTGCTTTAGTGCACTTCAATTGATAAATAACTAAATTTAACTTCTAGCTGATATTAATAATTTTTTTTCAACCGATATTAATAAATTAGAAAATCAACTTTACTACAAATACTAGCTCTCTTGTATATAGAATTGTAGCCCAAAAAAAATAAATAAATAATTAAGAGTATATAGAATAGAATGAGAAAAGAGATTCCAGTAGTTTTGTTTATTTTTAAAAAATGATTTAACTTTCGTGTAGGCTTGAGGCCACAACAAAATAAAAAATTTATTAATAGAATTAATCTATCCAATCAAGCCCAAGTCAACTCAACCACCATACTAAAATAAAGGACCAAATCAAATAAGCCCAGGGCCGGTCCTGACCCAAGGCGACAAAGGCGGTCACCTAGGGCCTCAAAATTTATAGGCCTGTGGATGAGGGGTCACGGAAAAACAAAATATTTTTAGGGCAAATCATTTTAGCCTCCCCAATCGCCTCCATCTCTTTTCTCGTTCTCGACTCTGAACTTGCCCTCCCTCTCTCTCTCAGCAACTTCAAACTACAAAATCTACAAGAATCAGAAGTTCAAAACCCATATATTTCCGTTTATCTAGATGTCTCCAAGAATCAAAAGTTCAAAACCTATTACCTATATCAAAACCCATATCGGCATATCATTTCAGATTGTTCAAAAAATAAAAATCCATATCTTTCAGTTTCCATCGCCCGCAAGCTTCAGCCCGTCTCTCAACGATCAAGCTTGCCCCCCCCCCTCTCTCTCTCTCCAACTGCTAACTTGTATGTATTGGTTTTGTTTTAATTTTTTTTTCTTAGTCAAGGTCTGTAACTTGTTTTGCAAACTAAATACTATTTGGTGAAATTTTTTATGGTCTTTTATATAATATATATATATATATATATTTTTTTTTACAATATAAAGTAACAAAATTTGCATTGCATTTTGAGGTAATCACCGTAATCTACATTTTATTTCAGCAAAGCAAATATATATTTTTCTATTTCTATAACTTCTATTTCTGTTTTTTTGTTGTGTTTTTTTTTTGTTGTTGTCAATTATGTTTACAAGAAAATTTGAATCTGGGCATGAAAAAAGAAAAAAAAAAGAATCTGAATTGGATTAGAAATTTGTAGAGATTGAATCTGAAACAATTTTTATCAACGTGCCAAGCTTTTTGAAAATGGAAATCTTTTCAGAACTAAAAAAAAAAAAAAAAAAAAATCATAACAAGAACTTTGACAAGCAAAAGTACTTAATATAGGGTAAAGCTCTAAAGTTACTTCTTGAAAATTAAAATACTTACAAAAAGCATGCTTTTGAGTGAATTCCATAGTGTTGGAAGGGGCTTGCCATGAATTACCTCGCACTCTACTACCACTAGTAGATTCTCAAATAGGATTAGTAAAGTGGTCAAAAGAAGAGATAGGGTACTGTGCTGAATTGTTAAGAAATAAATTGGTAATTTTTTTTAATTAATTACCCAAATTGGATTTTCTATGCCTTAATCAGTCAATTGTCTAAAGAAACATTGTTAGTTAACATTTTGGTTGATATATATTGATTTAGCTTACCCTATTGAGAAATCATGGATGTTTTGTTTCACATAGAATTACAATGTGTGTAATGCACGAAGGATATATTCAATCTTTCTGCCATATTTTTATTTTCAAATTTTGGTTTTTGATTTTCTTTTGTTATTCGAATGTAGAATATTAGGATATTGATTTGTTAATCTTGAAGATTATTCCTAAACTGATGTATTGTACTTTGTTATTGGATTAATTTAACATGAGAGTTGAGTATAATATGTGCTAATCATACCTATCCGTAATCACACCTCTTTCTACGGATATGTGTCCAATATTTTGACTGAAAGCATAGTTGGGTTGGGTTAGGTTGATACGTGATACAGATAGTACTTAGATGGTGGTGTTTTAATTGTTATGAGTGTGAAACCTCTTCCTCACAACTTGAGTGTTTTCTTATTTTTAGGTTCAGCATCGGGCCTTAACATTTTGCAAGAACAAGGTTCAAGAAACATGCATTCTCAGTAATCAGGTAACAAACTTTTACTTTTTCTAAAATTTTAATTGGCATTTTTAGCTATTGGTTACATTTATTTATTCATGTTTTACATACTGATTTTTTGTTTTTGTTTTTCTACATGCATATATATAATATTGTTATGATGTGATGCTCGAACAATTTATTAAAGGGAATTAAAGACTTGGAAGTTTAGTTTTCAATTTCAGAATATATGTTTTACAAACCTATTAACGCTTTTAAAACTTTTCCTCTTTTGTCCTAATAATATAGGTCTCTTTTCTGGAAGAAGAAAGTTGATGGGAATGGGTGGAGTTGGCAAAAAGAAAATAGGTTTGTTTTTTTTGCTTAGCTAATGGAATTATATAAATCCCCTTACCATTGGTGCAGTGATGTTGGTTTTAAAATGACCAATTATGATAGGAAGTCTCTTTTCAGTTTATCTTAATCAAATGTATATCTATGCAAGAAGATTACGTGATTCTAGATGACGATATTAATGTCAACGTTATGAGGATGTTGATGTCAACGTTGACTCTAGCGATGACGACCGATGATGTTGATAATACATTGATGCACTCAAATTAAGTCAAAACACTTAGAATTGAAGGAAATTTAGAGTTGAAGACATACTATTGAGCATAGTGTCTAATTCTTTTAGTTACAAGAATCTTTGGTCACTTCACACACGATTTTTCAGTTCCTGAAATTCTGAAACAATGGTGTGTAATATGATTCATCTACATGAGCTCTCCTCTTTTTCATCTCTCTAAACCCTAATTTTATCTGTGAAAAAGAAAAAGAAGACATTATACAATTTTAATTTAACTTTATCAGTTTGAGCATTGACAGAGCTTCTGAAATGTTGAAACTGAAACAACAAAGAAGAGAGAGTCCATCAATAAGAATTACCCAACTTAGGACAAAATAAGCTCTCTGAGCGTCTTGACTAATATTGGCATGGGAGATTTATATATATATGGACTTGTAGAGAGAAAGATATATGGTTGGGGGCATAAAAATGTACAACAATTGTGAACCAACGATATGGTTGTGAGCTTTTGGCTTGTTTCATGCATTGAATCTAGGAAATGTACAACAGTGAAATGGAAAGTACTGATGCACTCAAAGTTACAGAGAATAATTAATATTATATATTTATAACATACCTTACTGATCTAACATATACATATAGACATATATATATATATATATATATATATATATATATATATATGTTTGTAACTTACATATATAAATTGAAGCGAACTGAGGACGACAGGGTATTTCACTCCAAAAAAGCCAGAACATCGTTCTTCGGTGCCGTCGGCGGTTCGAAAGGGCCACGAACTCACTCAGCACTAGACATTGTATATGATCTTTGTTAATGTTGATTATTTGTTAATCTTGATTAATTGTAGATGATCATTTGGTTTGTTCAACGTTTTGATTAATGTAAAATTTTCATAGCTTGTAGATATTACTCTCCCGGTAGCTCACGTCCCGGCGTAATGTCCGTCCTCCTGATTGATACGATCCAGTGGCCCCATACCTCACTGCCGCTGTAATCGCCGTAGCGGTGGAGGAAGAAGAGGAGTCGGCACTTGCCATGGTGGAAGTGGAGTCGGCATTGGAGGAAGAGTAGGCTTCGCCGGAGGAAGAGGAGGTTTGGCCGCCGGCGGCGGCATTCGCGTGATGGAGGCGAAGATTCCCCATAAGTCTATCCCATTTACTACTTATACGGGGTATTTTTGGTGGAGACTTCAACCTCATTATACATCTATTTATAGTCACTCGAAAATTTTTGGCCATTTATAAAAATCTTAATATTCTAGATCATTTAGATTTTGTTTAACTAAAAATTCTAGAAGAATAAGAATGTATGTTAGATTTTCACTGTTCTTTGAGAATATCTCTAAATGAAAATTGCAAGAAAATAAATGAAATGAAATTTTTTTAAACGTAGGTTAGTAGGAGAATTTTCTTTTCACAGTTATTTAACTTTTTATAAAATTTTCCAACAAAAAAATAGAAGAAAGTTATGAATTCTTGAGAAAATTTTCTCAAATATACAATAATGTTTTTCTTTTATTGTCAGCTTTTTTTTTTATTCACATTATAAATTTTTTTTTTGAAATTAAAGAACATAAAAAACAACATATCATGCCAACTGAATGAATGTTAAATAATTTATTTTCTTAGGCGAAGCAGCCCCTTATTTAATATGATGATGGTGGTGGGGATCGATTAGGAATCTGCAAGTGTGCGTATGTGTGTTGGGTTTAATATGCCGATGGGGGGTTTCGATTTGGGGTCAGCGGTGGTGTTTCTTGCTTCTTGCTGTGGTTGTGATGGCAAGTGTGTGTTAGTTGTTGTGGGATTGAGTATGGTGGTGGCGGTGGCTGTCACTGGTTATGGGATGAGAATGGTGATGGCGGTGGCTGTCACCGATTGTGGTATGAGTAAGGCAGTGGTTGTCACCGGTTGTGGTGATGGTGGTGTCGGTGGCGCAGATGTAGGTGGTTGTCACCGGTTATGGTGATGGTGGCGCCGGTGGCGCAAATGTAGGTGGTGAGATGAGAGCTGAGAGAGGGAGGCATTGCTTAGTAATGCATCAAGGAAAATTATGTCATTTAAGTCTTCAGATTTTTTATCAATTAAATGTTGAAGAACAATTTTGCCTATTACCATTAGGGGCTGTTTGGCTGGAATTTTTGATAGAGTGTGTCATTGTCTTAAAAAAAAAGACTAACTTGTATCTGGGTGATCTTATAGCAAACCTAGAGAGTGTCAATCATTGTACTTTATCATTTTTTATTTATTTATTGATGACAGAAGAATGTACAATATTCATTGGCCCGGTAGGAGATTAAGGCCCAAAATCATAGAGCTAGCAACCCAAATTCAAATTATATTTTTTATGTTTTGTTAAGTAAGTATAATTACAAAACCAGCGTACATGAAAGCACAAAAGACATTTGTACATGGACAGCTTAATGGGTCTTATGTAAGGAATAAGAATTAATGTAAGACCCACGTCAATTTAGGATTGGTTTGAAAATTTGCTTTGTGTTTTGTGTTGGTACGATGTATTGTAATTAGGCCTGTCAGTGGGTCGGATTGATCGATCAAATTTATATTCGATTTGTTAAGTAAATGGATTATTGAATTTGGCTTACTAACGGGTTTTCGGATTGAATGTTCCAATTCATATTCTATATAGCTCGGACTCGGATCGAATCGGATTCAAATTCGGATTAAAATCATATTTACTAACATATATAATTATAAAGTTTGATGAAGTGGAGAATTGGTAATATACAGAATGTTACATAATATAACTATGCAACCAAATGCATATGATGATAAATAATTAATATATATAAATTTTGTAATATATAACTAATATATATAACATTGATGAGAACACTACACTATTATTGGTATGTATATTATGAGATTTATTAGTATGTGGATGAGAACACCACACTATTGTATATTGATTATGAATGATTTTTTATTCTTATTTTTTGAATTTTTGGGTTACCTCTTATACAATTCTAATAGGAGTATTGATATAAATATGTAAAATTATTGATAAATAATTATATTAATTATTTATATATATAATTTTAATCGGATCAGGATTTTTATCGGATTGGATCAGCATAATTCATATCCGATTTATTAAGTTATCGGATTCGGATCGTAATCGGGTTATCGGATTTTTTGTTCAATCCATATCAGACTAATCGGATCAAGATCCGCTCCATTGGCAGGTCTAATTATAACCAAATAAAATATTATATTTGTTTGATATTTTTTTGTTATAACTTGAATAGTATTGTGTTTATTGTAAGAAAGAGGCTCAAATACAAAATATTTAATTAGTATTTCTTAATGTTTTCTATTGTAACTAAAAACTATTGCGGTGAAATTTATCCAAAAATAAGTTAAATCTCTAATGGCCTTTTTAAACTAATCATTTTGTTTTTTAATTTTACAACATTTATTTATTTATTTATTAAACATATTTTAATGTTTCTGCTTCAAAAAATACTTGCTACAAATTTTACTATCTTCCACTATTGAACACAGTTATTTTTATTTTAGATGAATATATATACACGAAAACGATTGTCAAAAAGACCCTTAATGCGGACTGCTGTAGTAATGTAATTGTGGCCAGCATAACTGGTGGTGGGTGGAATAGTTTTACACTAAAAATGAAGGAAATTGTAGAATTTAAGAAAAATACTTTTACACATTTTTTTCTTGTATTTTTCCTTTTTCTTAAATTTTTCTATTTTTACCCAATAATACATACTATGGAGTATAAAAACGGGGGAAAGAGAAAGATTAAAAGCTTTGACTGACTTTATTTTATATTTATAGTATGTATTATTGGGTAAAAATATAAAATAAAGTGGTTTTGTAAATTTGTCATTTTCTCTTCTATTATTTTAAGAAAACAAGGGAAAATAAAGTGGAAGGATTGAGAAACTTCTTCCCTTTTCTCCACTTATCTCATACTATCCGTGTCGGTGACTCGAACTCAGGGGATGTAGGGGAGGGTTCTGGTGGGCTTGAACTCACTCAAAAAAAAAAAATAAAAAAAATAATAATAATAATAGAATTAGCCCACCCAATTAAGTCCAAGTTAACTTTGCTATCATACTAAAATAAAGACCCAAATCAAATAAGATCAGGGTCGGTCCTGACCCAAGACGACAAAGCCAGACACCTAGGGCCTCAAAATTTATAGGCCCATGGATGATGATGGGTCACGGAAAAACAAATATTTTTAGGGCAAATCATTTTAGGCTCCCCCCCCCCCCCCCTTTCCCTGTGTGTGCAATTGCAAACTACAAAATCTATAAGAATTAGAAGTTCAAAACCCATATATTTCAGTTTATCTATCTGTCTCCAAGAATCAAAAGTTCAAGACCTATTACCTATATCAAAACCCATATCGGCATATCATTTCAGATTGTTCAAAAAATCAAAACCCATATCTTTCAGTTTCCATCGCCCGCAGTTCCAGTTCGGGTTCGCCGTTTGCAAGCTTCAGCCGCTGGCCCGCTGAAACTCAACTCTCAAGCTTTCCCCCCTCTCTTTTTGCAACTCCTAACTTGTATGTATGGGTTTTGTTTTAATTTTTTTTTCTTTCTAAATCAACTAATCAAAGTCTGTAATTGTTGTTTTGCAAACTAAATCCTATTTGGTGAAAATTTTGATGGTCTCTTTTATATAATTTTTTTTTTTTACAATATAAAGTAACAAAATTTGCATTGCATTTTGAGGTAATCACCATAATCTACATTTTATTTCAACAAAACAAATATATTTTTTTCTATTTCTATAACTTCTTCTTTTTTTTTTTCTTTTTTTTTTTTTTTTTTTTTTTTTGTCAATTATGTCTACAAGAAAATTTGAATCTGGGCATGAAAAAAGAAAAAAAAAAAAAAAAAAAAAGAATCTGAATTGGATTAGAAATTTGCAGAGATTGAATCTGAAACAATTTTTATCAACATGCCAAGTTTTTTGAAGATGGAAATCTTTTTAGAACTAAAAAAAAAAAAAATCTCATAACAAGAACTTTGACAAGCAAAAGTACTTAATATAGGGTAAAGCTCTAAAGTTACTTCTTGAAAATTAAAATACTTACAAAAAGCATGCTTTTGAGTGAATTCCATAGTGTTGGAAGGGGCTTGCCATGAATTACCTCACACTCTACTTCCACTAGTAGATTCTCAAATAGGATTAGTAAATTGGTCAAAAGAAGAGATAGGGTACTGTGTGCTGAATTTTTTAGAAATAAATTGGTAATTTTTTTTAATTAATTACCCAAATTGGATTTTCTTTGCCTTAATCAGTCAATTGTCTAAAGAAACATTGTTAGTTAACATTTTGGTTGATATATTTTTATTTAGCTCACCCCATTGAGAAAGATGTTTTGTTTCACATAGAATTACAATGTGTGTAATGCACGAAGGATATATTCAATCTTTCTGCCATATTTTTATTTTCAAATTTTGGTTTTTGATTTTCTTTTGTTATTAGAATGCAGAATATCAGGATATTGATTTGTTAATTTTGAAGATTATTCCTAAACTGATGCATTGTACTTTGTGTTCGGATTAATTTAACATAAGAGCTGAGTATAATATCTGCTAATCACACCTCTTTTTATGGATAGGTGTCCAACATTTTGACTGAAAATATAGTTGGGTTGGGTTAATACATGATACAGATAGTACTTAGATGGTGGTGTTTTAATTGTTAGTGTGAAACCTCTTCCTCACAACTTGAGTGTTTTCTTATTTTTAGAGTTAGCATCGGGTTATAACATTTAGCAAGAACAAGGTTCAAGAAACATGCCTTCTCAATCATCTGGTAACAAACTCTTACTTTTTCTAAAATTTTAATTGGCATTTTTAGCTATTGGTTACGTTTATTTATTCATGTTTTACATACTGATTTTTTGTTTTTGTTTCTACATACATATATATAATATTGTTATGATGTGATGTTCGAACAATTTATTAATGGGAATTAAAGACTTGGAAGTTTAGTTTTCAATTTCAGAATATATGTTTTACAAGTTTATTAATGCTTTTAAAATTTTCCCCCTTTTGTCCTAATGATATAGGTCTCTTTTATGGAAAAAGAGAGTTGATGGGAATGGGTGGAGTAGGTACAAAGAAAATAGGTATGTTTTTTTTGCCTAGCTAATTGAAATATATAAATCCCCTTACCATTGTAGTAGTGATGTTGGTTTTAAAATGACCAATTATGATAGGAAGTCTCTTTTCAGTTTATCTTAATCAAATATATATCTATACAAGAGGATTTCGTGATTCTAGATGATGATTCTTGATGAGGATGTTAATGTCAACGTTATGAGGATGTTGATGTTAACGTTGACTCTAGCGATGACGACTGATGATATTGATAATATGTTGATGCACTCAAATTAAGTCAAAGCACTTAGAATTGAAGGAAATTTAGAGTTGAAGACATACTATTGAGCATAGTGTCTAATTCTTTTAGTTACACAAATCTTTGGTCACTTCACAGTTCACACATGATTTTTCAAACAATGGTGTGTAATATGATTCATCTACTAGAGCTCTCTTCTTTTTCATCTCTCTAAACCCTAATTTTATCTGTGGATTAGTTTGAGCATTGACAGAGCTTCTGAAATGTTGAATCTGAAACAATAAAGAAGAGAGAGTCCACCAATAAGAATTACCCTACTTAGGATAAAATAAGCTTTCTGAGTGTCTTGGCTAATATTGGCATGGGAGATTTCTATAGATATGGACTTGTAGAGAGAAAGATATATAGTTGGGAGCACAAAAGTGTACGACAATTGTGAACCAACGATAGGGTTAACTTTACACTTAGATATATTTTGATTTAGCCCACCCCAATGAGAAATCTTGGATCTGCCCTTGCTCGAACCTCAATTCTCTGGTACATCAGAGCAAGAATTTGGATCTGAAGTTGAAGCGAACTGAGGATGAGAGGGTATTTCACCTCAAAAAAGCCAAAACATCGTTTTTCGGTGCCGTTGGCGGTTCAAAAGGGCCACGCACTCGCTCAACATTAGACATTTTATATGATCTTTGTTAATGTTGATTAATTGTAGATGATCATTTGGTTAGTTCAACGTTTTGTTAATGTAAACTTTGTATAGCTTGCAGATCTTACTCTCCCAGAAACTAATGTCTATCCTCTTAATCGATACAATCCAAGTGGCCCCATCCCTCACCGTCGCCGTAATTGCCATAGCGACTGAGGAAGAAGAGGAGTCCGTACCGGAGGAAGAGTAGGCTTCGCCGGAGGAAAAGGAGGTTTCGCCATCAACAGTGGCATTTACGCGATAGAGGCGGAGATTTCCCTCAAAGTCTTTTTTGGATGCTTATGTGGCTATTGCATTTACTACTTATACTGGGGTTTTTTTGGTGGAGACTTCAACCTCATTATACATCTATTTATAGTCACTCACCTGAAAATTTTTGGCCATTTATAAAAATCTTAATATTCTAGATCATACAAATTTTGTTTAACTATTATCCAAAATTCTAGAAAAATGTATGTTAGATTTTTTACAGTTCTATGAGAATATCTCTAAATGAAAATTGCAAGAAAAGAAATGAAACGAAAATTTTTTAAACACAGGTTAGTAGGAAAATTTTCTTTTCATAATTATTTAACTTTTTATAAAATTTTCCAAACAAAAAAATAGAAGAAAGTTTTGAATTCTCAAGAAAATTTTCTCAAATATACAATAATGTTTTTCTTTTATTGTAAGTTTTATTTTATTCAAATTATAATTTTTTTTTTTAAATAAAAAAATTAAAAATTAAAAAAAAACATAAAATGCTAATCGAATGAATGTTAAAAAAATTATTTTCTTAGGCGACGCAACCCCTTATTTAATATGTTGGTGGTAGGGATCGATTAGGAATCTGTAAGTGTGCGTATGTGTGTTGGGTTTAATACACCGATGTGGGGTTTCGATTTGGGGGTCAGCGGTGGTGTTTCTTGCTTCCTGCTGTGGTTGTGATGGCAAGGGTGTGTTGGTTGTTATGGGATGAGTATGGTGGTGGCGGTGGCTGTCACTGATTGTGGTATGAGTATGGCGGTGGTTGTCACCGGTTATGGTGATGTTGGCGCCGATGGCACAGATGTAGGTGGTGAGATGAGAGCTGAGAGAGGGAGGTATTGCTTAGTAATGCATCAAGGAAAATTATGTCATTTAAGTCTTCAGATTTTTTATCAATTAAATGTTGAAGGGCAATTTCGCCTTTTACCAATTTTTTAGGGGTTGTTTGGCTGGAATTTTTGATAGGGGGTGTCATTGTCTAAAAAAAGACTAACTTGTATCTCGGTGTTCTTATGACAAACTTCAAGAGGTGTCATTGTACTTTATCCTTTTTTATTTATTTATTGAAGATAAAAGAGTGTACAATATTCATAGGCTCGGTAGGAGATTAGGCCCAAAATCACAGAGCTAGCAACCTAAATTGAATTTATATTTTTCATGTTTTGTTAAGTAAGTTTAATTTTAAAACCAGCTATGTACATGAAAGCACGAAAGACATCTGTACATGTATAGCTTAGTGGGTCTTAATGTCTTATGTAAGGAATAAGGATTAATGTAAGACCCACCATGGATTTAGGATTGGTTTGAAAATTTGCTTTGTGTTTTGTGTTGGTATGGCGTATTGTAACTAGGCCATCAATGGATCGGATTCGGATCGATCAAATCTATATCTGATTTATTAAGCAAACAGATTATCAGATTCGGATTACTAACGGGTTCTCGGACTAAATGTCCCAATCCATATCCTATTTAGCTCGGACTCGGATCGAATTGGATTTGAATTCGAATTCGGATTGAAATCATATTTACTAACATATATAATTATAAAGTTAGATGAATTAGAGAATTGCTAATATACAGAATACTACATAATATAACTATGCGACCAAATGAATATAATGATCAATAATTAATATATATAAATTTAGTAATATATAACTAATATATATAACATTGATGAGAACACCACACTATTAGTATGTATATTATGAGATTTACTAGAATGTGGATGAGAACACCGCACTATTGTATATATAACATTATCAATGATTTTTTTTATTTTTTATTGGATTTTTGGGTTATCTCTAATACAATTCTAATAGGACCATTGATATAAATATGTTAAATTATTGATAAATAATTATATATATATATATATATATATATATATATATATATATTTAAAATTTTAATCGGATCGGATTTTTATCGGATCGGATCAACATAATTCATATCCGATTTGTTAAGCTAATGGATTTTCGGATTCGGATTGTAATCGGGTTATCGGATTTTTTTGTTCAATTCATATCTGACTAATCGAATCGGATTTGGATCAAGATCCGCTCCATTGACAAGTCTAATTGTAATGAAACAAAGTATTATATTTGTTTGATATTTTCTTGTTATAACTTGAATAGTATTGTGTTTATTGTAAAAAAGAGGCTCAAATACAAAATATTAAATTAGTATTTCTTAATGTTTTCTATTGTAACTAAAAACTGTTGCGGGAAATGTACCCAAAAATAATTTAAATCTCTAGAAATGTAATTTTTTTAATTATTTTACGACAATCAGAGTTGACAGGATCATTTTTAGATTTTTTTAAAAAGTCGGGATAATTTCCAAGTTCAGGAATTTCTCCCAGTTTTGCCGTTTTCAATAAAGGGCATTATAGACATTTCATATACATATACATATATGTGTATCTATATATGTTGGAAGATATTTTATGGGACATATAAGGCATTGCAAGGGATGAGTGAAGGCAATAAGGTAACTTGAGCATAAGTTAGTAATCCATGGATGAGTGACACTTGGCACCATTAGGCCTGTGGAATGAAAGGAAGACAAGCCTAAAACCCATAAGTCTTCTTCATTTTCGGAATTCCCTTTCTCTCTCTAGTCCTCTTCTCTTTCTATATATCTATATACATATATGTATCTACATGCTTTAAAGCCATTTTTGAGGGCCTTAAGGTGAGATTTGAGAGGAGAATAAGGAGAAGAAGTTAGAATACACATTGAGAGCTTCCATTTGACACAATTGATGCTAGGGCTTGGTGGATTTCGAGATTAAGGCTTGGCTAAGGGCTTGTTTGGCTAGAAGCAATTGAGGTAGGGTTTTTCTAAGACCATGTACTTTGTCTTTTATGGAGCATGATATCTTGAATTCTCTAATTTTCATCCTCTAATGCAAGGTTATGAAAATGATGATGATGTAGTGATATGAACTAAGTATGTTTAAATGTGACAAGTATAATTCTTTTCCATGCTATGTGTTAAGTGCTAACTTAGTAAAGAAAGAGTTAATTTCATGATGAGCATGTTGTGTTTAAAATATAGAAATTGCCTTATTTACGATTACATTGGGAAACATGCTATGGTGACGTTTAAGTTTCATAAAATGCCATGTTGAGACAAATTGCTAAAGGATGACATATTCTTGTGGTTATGGTTGTTTTAGTAGAATTGTCTAATTTAGAACATTGGTGCATATGCATGGCATGATAGGGAAAGGAAAAGGAGAAAGGGATATGAAATGAAATTTTTATAAAAGTAACCAGATTTCGCGAGTCCGGTACCAACTTTGACGGGAACACGTGCCGGTTTATGACACGTAAAGTTGATTACTAGGCCTAAATGGTCGTCGGTTTAGAGGACAAGGATAGCTAATCAATCTCGCATTGGTAAAGTCAGTTAGCGGTTTTCGGTGTGAGTCAAGGTCGGTAGAGACCAAGTTGGGGACATGGTGCATTGCATTGTATTTTTATGCATACTTGTGATAAGTTGTATATTTGTCGTGATGAGAATGATTATATGAGTTAAATGCTATAAAAACCTCTATGCATGACCCCTGTTCATTTTTATTCCCGTTATGTGTTTTGTGGCTCAAGGGAGTCCAAAGTTGACACCTTAGGCAACTTCTACTGAGCCCCTGTGCTCACCCCTTCCTTTAAAATTTTTCAGGTCTCGGTAAGGAAGTGGTTGATGACATTCCTCCAGAAGTATAGTAGAGGGTGATGAACCATCTTTTGTAATTTTTGTAAACAATGCGTAACTATGACGATTATTTTTTGTAAAGATGACGTTATCCGTCTAATTTTATAAAGTATTATAATTAAGACCTTAAGGGTCTCTAACTTGTAAACTTATTCTTTTGGGATGTTATTTGTATAATTTGGGCATGTAAGTGATAAGAATGACAACAACGTTTTCACCTTGAAGTTTTGGGATAATATGCAATTTAATGATGTATTTTGAGACATTATAATGTATGGATAATGTTTTGGGAGTGTATCTATATTTTCATGATTGCTTTGGGACAGGTTTTAAGTGTATGGAATTGTCATTTATCTTAAATTTTAATGTAGGAACTAACCAAAGCTTCCTAAGAAGCCAAATTGACTATTTTCTGGGCGATCGATTGATACCTTTCATACTTAGAAAAAATTGAAAAAAACCTCAAATTTCATGCTCTCGGCCCCACCGTTCGAGCTTGGACTCGATCGGTCGAGTTGGGCTTGATCGATCGAGCACTCGATTGTCCACTAGTTGTCAACTC